GTGTTGGACATCTCCATTATCTATGCAATACTTTACTTTAGGCGTTGAATTTTATTGCAGTTAATATTTCTTGGTGATCGCCAGTTCTTTAGCCTTAGGGTCGGTTTCTAATATAAGCAGTAAAGTTACCATTACTAACAGGGCAAGATAAATCTTCCTCACTTTTTGTAAACAGATTTGGAATTTTTACACTAATTTTAGATAAAGAAACGAATACAAAAAAGGAAAAGAAAACAAATTGTGAAAGTTTGAGACCTTAATAGGCTGCCAAGAAATAAAATCTAACGCCTTTGGCACAACAACTTTGGATTTGTAGGGAAACATAACTTCTTCACAAATTGTTCGGAAGCTAACACATTTCATTTTATGATTTTCTCGCTCTCGCTCTCTTCTGAAAAAACTTTACGTAACTATGTAGATACATTTGCATGGCATCTTCCCGCTCGTTGTTTAACCGCACTCTTTTAGCTGCTATAATTATATACCATTTCTAATTAGCTGGCCAGCGAATGCACTTTTCACAACATCCACACGCCCACACATAAAACCACCACCAGCTAGCACAATTTTCTAAAGAAAATTTTCTTAAAATTTTTTACTTAACTTTTCGTAAATTTTCTATTAAATTTGTAAACGCAGCATCTTTTGTTCATTAAATTTTGTACACTCAAATTTGCTTTTGTTTCCTTTTCGTCTCCTTGGTTACAATGCATTTTTTAGTCTTGCGTATTATTTTTTGGCATTTTATGCACCTACCGTCGTATGCGTCGCACTTAGTAATCTAGGAAGCTGACACCAAAAGCAGAAGCGATAATCCAAATTGATAAAATATAGTTATGCACTTGCACATATACATACAGGTTTTATGTATGCCATATACCAAATACTTTTACTGTACATATGCATAGATTAAACACAATTTTATTATTAATTTTTTTTTTATTATCCAAACTCTACTTTGAATATTAAGCATTTATCGAATTTCCTTTGCATCACTTTTACTTATGCGCACAGCCAAGCACCACTGCACTTTGTTTTCTCACTAACTTTTCTCTTGCAGATAGATTAATATTCTTCCCGGATGGTGCCATACCGAAATTTAAACAAAAACAAAAGCAACACCATAACCGCACAACTACAACATCATCATCTTCATCAGCATCCTCTGCAGCGATAGCCGCCAATGCCACCGGTCATCAACTTTCGAATAATATCGCCTCGGACGATGAGGATGAGGAGGACGATTACGATGATCGCATTCGCGCTGAAATCTATTCAAATTATCCGCATTATCTGCACCCACCGTCTTGGGGTCTGAACAATCCGCTGGTATTGGCCTCACACTCACCGCACACATACGACGATGAAGATGAATCAATGCTGGAAGTGCCGGAGCAAAAGCAACAATGGCAGCGCCAACAAATGGCACACAAAACTGCCAAAGATATTGGTGGTGCTGTTGCTGCTGGTGGTGTTGATGGTGATGATGTTGTGGTGCTGTTGGACACCGATAACACTGGTCGTCACTTTGCCGGTCTCGGCGGTAGTGGCGGTGTTGGTGTTGGCATTGGTTTCGGTTTGTCGTCCGGTGTGTTTGATGAGTCCATAACGGAGCATAGCAATAGCGGCGGCGGCGGCGGCGGCGGCGGCGGCAATCACGGCACGCATCGCTTGCACGAGTATATTGATGGTTTCACTTTTACCGCATCACCGACTATCGCATCCGCACCAGAATCTGCACTTCCGGCACCACCGACACATTTGCACCACAACAAAAAGCACCAAAAAACTGCAATGTATGTGAGCTAGCAAAAGCACTGTGTGTATATATAGTTATGTATACTTGTATAAAAACCTAGATATATTTTGTACTGTATATGTATATACTTATTAGTGTATCTATGCTTAGCACACACACCGAAAATAACAACAACAACAAATTAAAAATTGATACAAGCATTAGCACTTCACCCACGCACAAGCACACGGACACATGCAAGCTCGCACGCACAAACAGAACTAGTACAACATTACGTTTCCCAGCACTCACTAACTGCACTTCTAAATATGTATGTACGTACTTATGTATGTATTTGTATATTTATATGTATTTATGTATACTATGTTCGTTTATAAGCAGTTGAAAATGCCGAGACATTAAAATTCTATGAAATGCTAAACTTCCCTTCGTCAAATTTAATTATGCAAATGGCAAAATGTTTAAGATTGCAGTGAAAATATTGCAAGAGCGAGCTGAGCGTTAACGGGAGGTAAATTTCCCAGCTCGATTAAGTGTTAAACTTTAAATTTATAAATATGCACCCTTGTGCGCTTGCCCGTACTTAAGTAAGTATATATTTGCTATGTGCAAGTGATATTTACGTTGGTATCTTTAAAGGCACTTAAACATTTTGTAGATTTAATGAAAAGTTTAGTTTGAAAATATGGCTCGTTATTTAGAAAAAACCATGTAAGTTCGAATTTGAAACTTTGTACAAAAATCAGGTAAATTCGACAAGTATTCATCAAAATTTCGACCTCTTTAATTAGATTTCTTAGAAACATTCTGATTATAGAGATACAAGCCCAATAAATTTCAGTGAGTGCTCGGAACTTTTCCAATTTTGTAAACATTAGGTCTGAAATCTATTGTTTTTGATTAATTTAATTTTTTCTTGTCATAATTTTATTTGTTTTTCAATTTTTCCATTGAGAAATTTTCCAACACTCAAAAATATGTAATAAAAAAAGCTGGCAGTACTCTGAAAAGTTGCTGAAATTTTTAAAAGTATGTACGAAAAATTTTTTATATAGAAGGAAATGCGTGACACTGTTAACAATTTTTTTTTTACTATACAGATTGTTTTTTAGTCCGATCGCTGGTTTTAGTGCGATAAAGTGCAAGTTTGAAGCGGCTGGAACTTTCCGTTGATTTTTGGAATTTTTTTTTTTTGAAGGAGTTGCAAATTTTCTCCATATAAAAAAAGTCGACCGTACTTTGCATGGAAAAAATGCGTAAGAATGTAAAAAAAACAACAAAATTATGATTAGAAAGTTTGAAAATTTGGTACAACTGTGTTGAAATTTTGCAAATTGTTGCACTTAAAAAAAATAAATTAAAATAAAATAAAGAAAAAAAACAGCCAAATCCCAATTTATATTTTTGCCCCCGTATTTAGATTGCCAAACTCAGAAGGTTAAAGAGAATGCATGATCTTGGATTTGATCTGGAATTCTTGTAAATCAATATTTTTCGATCGGAAATCCCTAGTTCTCTTCAGAAGACCTCCAATAATAATACCCAATTCTTTATTAAACCATTTTTCAATACTAAAGATTTTTAGTTGGCCCCCGCTTTGCATTTCCTGGGGGTTTTGGCGGGCGTGTAAGATATAATTACTATGAAAAAATTTTTAAATAAACAGTTTGGTATTATTATTGAGAATATCTTGAAGAGAAACCAAATATTGATTAAAAAATATTGGTTTTCCAGAATCCTATACCACTTAAACGAAAACTTGTTTTTTCTCCATATAAAATATATGACCAATTTGAGCGACCTTTAAATATTTTTAGATTTGAAAATAAAGAAATAGGGGTATATTTTTTCCATATTCCACAATCCCAGTTCCGATTCTAAACTTCTCTATGCATTTTGTACCACCTTAATGTATAAACACATGTATGAGCTTTGTACCCGGTAATTGGCGTGTAGCATATCTGATGTCGCTATGCATTGTACGTCGCCTAAACAACGCCGAATTAAGTTTAAAAATTAAAATTAAATTTTCATAGGTATTTGATGTCTCGTATTTTCAATTGTGTGCAATGTATTATTATGTATTATACTTATATATATCTTCTCATATGTTTACGATAGCCCACTACCAACTTCACATATACTTCTCATCACATTTTAATATGATACTAGCCTAAACTTTATTTCAATCGATCTTCTCTATGCTATGCCCTGTATATTTGTCTCACCTTTTGCACTTAAAATAACTATCGAAAAAAAATCACAAAAAAAAAAAATATTATAATTAGTTCAAGCACAAATTCGCACAAAAGTATGCATCCTAGCGACGAAATAACCACCGGCAGAGATAAATTATCCCACCGTTCACGCACCTATAATGGTGACAGCATGGATGAGAGAGGTAAGTGCTAACTTTACCTGCATATATATGTCATATTTATGAATATATCGGGTAGTAAAATTATGAAATGCATACAGATTTCATGTAAGAAATGCACAATTAATAAGGAAAATTTGTTTTCTTTTTATAAGAAACTGAAGTTTGGCTGCTAGCGTTGTACAACTGTTATTATTTTTTTCGATAAAAAAAAAATCTGAAAATAATGGTTATAATATGATGGAAAAAATACGAGCCATGAAATAACGATTAAATTTGATCGGAAAAATCGAGTCAAAATTTTAATGGTGAAATTATGATTTTTATTATAAAAATCACGTCCGTTACGGTCCGTGATATACATACATATGTATAAACATAAAAATATTAAATAATTGAAAGCTGAAATCATTAATTCGGTTTCATTTGGAAAAACACGGTTATTTTATAGGCAGTTTTGTTTTTAATTCTGTACGATATTTCCACTTATTTTTCTGGGGAATTGATGAAACCAAGTTTTTGTGAAAGTCTGGATTGTAATTAGAAAAGTAATTTCTCAATTTCCTAGGTTGGTGATTTTAAGCATTTTTTTCAATTTGAAGTTGGTGGTAGGAGCAGAGTTTAAACTAGAAGTGATTAAAACGCTGAAGGTCTTAGTTACTTGTGCTGCTAGCTATTGTGGTTAGGTGATGTATCACTTAATTTCTGTATAATAAGTAAATAAATAAATAAATAAATAAATCTTTATATATAATACGCGAAGTCATTTTTTGTTTAGCATAAAAGATCTGCACCGTTCGTTCGATTTTCAAAAGTGGGGTGACGAATTAATGGGCTCGCGCTATAGATGTGCAAAGAGTTTTTACTTATTTAAAAAGAGTTGCCACCTTTTAAAAAATTATATTTAAATTGTTTTAACAAATAAATCAATTATTACAAACTGGGAATCAAACGAAGTGGTTTTGAAAAGCTTTGCTTCTTAGCTGAACTATAGCCCACGGAAGTGCTAGCCTATATTAAAATCCTTCACGTATAGGGTAAAGGCCATGCACAATAGACTATCCAAATACTTGGTGATTACAAAATAAAAAAAAAAAAACAGAACAATCCTAGGGGGTGAGAGCATACAAATTTAAACTATACACCACACAATATATACAATATAACTGTAAAAATGAAAATTATAAAATTAAAAAAAAAAACATATAACAAAAATTTGCAAGGTCACTTTTCTCGAAAATCCCTCCGTGAATGAGTTTCGTTTTTGAATTTGTAGAAGCTAGAAACAATATATGTAGTACTGTTCAAATTTGCAAGACTTTCCAATGTACAGCAACCTTTCATTTAATCTTGGTTCAGATGAAGCGTGGTTTATTTGGACGAAAATGCACCCAGCAGTCGTGTCGTTTTTTGGTAAAAATAAATGATTTTTGGTAAAAACATAAACTGCAGGTGCAGATTCCTCCTGCCCGAAAATCCCCAGAAGGGTCTTTTGGTGGTATAAATATTTACATTTCAATCACTTTCAATTGTTTTAAATGCTGCTGTACGAACACCAACTTGGAATTGAAAAAAAAAACACTTAAAATCACAAAAGTGGGAAAACCGAGAAACTACTTTTCTATATATCCATATGTAATCCAAACTTTCAGAAATACTTGGTTTTATCAATTCCCCAGCAGACTGCCAAACAGTGTTATGGACGTTAATAACATATGTGCGTTGTGGTAAAATAGCTTTTGAGGCAAAAAGGCAAACAATTGCTTTGCAACTAAATTAAACAAATTTGTGTAAGTTTTTCATCCAACGGACTTTTTGTTGCAATCAATAAAAGTTGGGAAAACTCTTTTTAAGGCGATTTTAAAACCCTCAATCGATCAAAATACAAAAAAGACTACAATATGTAAGACTGCGTATATATTTTGGTTTTGAATATTTTTAATAATAATAATAATAGATTGGCACTTACACATATGTTAGTGCTTCGCCGAGCTTCTCCTCCGATTTGTGGCGTGCGCCTTGATGTTGTCACACAAAGCGGAGGGACCTACAGTTTTACGCCGACTCCGTACGGCGATTGTAATTTTATGAGAAGCTGAAATACACTCGGAGGTTTGCCAGAGGGGGCACCCACGAGGTAATAGCGTCAAAGAAAATATGGGTAGGAGTTCCCTTGACACTTGTGCACTTCTCTTGGAGAGATGGACGTCGGGTCAACACAGCGAAAACGGGCGGAAAACCAGGGCATGTGCTACTGGGAGGTAATTTTCGCCGAGTGTGGACCTGGGACGGTGTAGTGATTTTCTTCGCCTCACGAAGCCGGATTTCTCAATTCTGAGGGTACACTGGCACTCCAGCCTTTGCTAGAATGCACTTAAGCAATTGGGTTCGTACTTTATAACTTGCCCGAAGGAGCTCTCCCGGACTAACATCTGCTGCCTTCATAACTTCGTCCGCAGTGGTATCACAAATTACCAACGCTCAAAATCTTTGTGATCCACTTGACTAGGGACAACAATAACCTATCCAAAGCTATTATTTCCTTTGAAAGCGTAAACTAAGCCTCCTCTAGAAGAGATGGCACGGAACTAAATATTTAATCACGATCCCGCCCATCCCGAAATTGAATTCTTAAGTAACGAACCCGCCCATCCCTATGTTTTTCAGAATGGTACCGCGGGTCACGTGGGTCCCGAAATATATCGTCAAGAAAAATTCACATGTATTTCAAATTAATGAAAAAAAAATAATAATAATAATGAAAGATCTGGCATCTTCTGATTGTTTTGTTTTGCTTTGCCGTTCGTTTTCGTCTCAATAAAACATAAAAACGTAAATATTGCATACAACATTTTTAAGGATTTTCTGAATTTTCGGAGGTTGCGATTTTATTGGAAAAGTCGGGAAAGGATTTTTCGCCCGCAAGGTTTTTACAGACCTTCCCGATACCGCCCATCCCGGTCATTTTGAAATCAATACCGTGGGTCTTGGGGGACCTGATATCCTGCGCCCATCTCTACCCTGTACTAAATTACTGATATCTCAGGGTGACCGAAAGCAGCTAAAAATACATATTTATAGAAGCAGTATTCTGACTTTATTCCCAACGGCATTATTTCCAATATATATATGAAGGTAGAAAAGCAAGTCCATATTTCTGTTTGTAGATACCCACAATTTTACAAATTTGCTCATTCGACAATACACAAATGTCATTCATTGTTAAGTAAATAAAATCAGGTATCACAGCTTTTATGCACATCAATTGTCTGCCAGCGATTCTGTCTGCTGTGTTGCAGTGATTCCATGACATTAGGGGTATTCTCGAAGTCTTGCACGATGCACGGATTGCACGAAATGCAAAATACTATTCCGAATTTCGAAGAGTACGAGAGCACCCCATTGCAAAGAGGAAGTATGCATGGGTAGCAAGCAGCGAAATTATGTATCAAATACAATAACAAGAGACTGCAAAAAAAATTAAGTGAGCGAGATGAGAGGAACGAGAGAAATATGTAGCTATTCCAACAACAAAACAACTAGCAAAGGGTCGCATTTATCTTGCTATGCTATTTTGCAAAATATATACATGGGTTTCGACGTTGCATATTTAGCAGCGATAGGAAATGTTGTTTCCCATGTATTTAGTTGTTGTGTGTTTGCAAGTTATGCAATCTGTGCTACGTGCAATGGCTTTGCAAGATTTGGAGAATACCCCTATTGTGTTTGTTTACAGAATTGCAAATGTGCGTATGTGTACATATGTATGATTTCTACCTTGATCAACCTAAAGTCTTTCACAAACAGCTCTAACTGTCAATATATCTATGCAAATTCAAGCAATGTTTATTTTGAATGCAGCTGACAAATACCCTAGGGTTAGCAAAACAAATCTTTGCTATACGCACATATCGTCGGTGATACTGCAAAGCGGTCTATGTCTATTAGTACCCCACACACTTAGATGGTCTCTTACTTGCGCCGGAATGCATCTGCCAATCGTTACACTCTAATAAACGAATAACAAAACTGTCTACCTTTGGCTGATGAGGATAAACAATTGCCAGAAGCGATCAGATAGAGATAAAATATCAATTGTGCACCAAAGGTAATAAGTGACATAGAACGTTTTGTAGTATCACCGACGATATGTATTGTATATGTATTACACAAATCAATATTGTTTGACGCTTAACCATTTAATTAGTCAAAATAGTGTACAAATTGAGTAAAGGGTATAACTTATAGTAAATGCTCTTTTGTGCGCAATGACTTCAAGATTTCAAATTAGAATTATTCAGAAGTTTGTGTTGACCTTTTCCAAAGTTTGTTTGCATTAACAAGAAGCTGAGTGTTTCCGGAAAAGGTATACATTTGGGATTAATTACTTTTATTTAATTATGTTTAAATAAGAATTCTATTCGGATTATTTTTACACTAACTAAGGGTCAGCTAATGTTTTGGTGCACAAGTTTTAGCTAAATAGACTAAAATACTTGAAATATTCCCATTTTCTTTCAATTCTTTCTAATTTTAAATGTTAGTAGATTTTAATAGAACATACGGTTTGGGCATTTTATGGTTACTAATTACAATTTTAAAATTAGGTTTTAAAAATTTCGTGTAGGTACTTGAGATTAATAATTTTAGAGGTGAACGAACGTCACAATTTTCGCTCCTTAATATTTAAAAAAAATTTAGTTTAAAAGGATCAGGGTGGTGGGTACATATCTAGCGAGCTCTAAATTATATTCGGCCCTAGTACCGATTTGAAGACTTTCATTTTAGTATCACGTCTCACTAGGTTCTCCATTCAGACCACTGTGCGCCCCCTCCGAATGGCAGATGCATTTTCAAGGCAGAAATACACTCGTTGGTTTGCCATTGCTTGCTTAGGGGCGACCGCAGTTAGAAAAAACTTGTTCTAATTTAGATGTTGCTCGGACCAGGGAACGAACTCAGGTACTACGGAGTGGTAGTATGCACCTCTCACCTTAGTAGATAGTAAATTACGGTAGTCTGCT